CCCTTTAAGGCAGATGAGTGAGTAGAGCTTACAATCTAAGAAAACTGTCAATTTTTATTCAAGTTTTCAAAAATGATTGGAATAATTCCGTAATCCTGATTAGGTTGACTACTTCCTTATAGATAAAACTCATACTGTTAGGTGGGCGAGTATGCAAATCAAGTATTCTATTATCTTCTCATTACTTATTAGGAAAAAAATATTCCAGAAGTACTACTTCAACTGATGAGAATCGTCATACAGATAGTCTCCTCTCCGCATCTTATTAACTTACCGTTGGTTTAATGAGAACATAAAGGATATCCGTTCTCAAATGTTAAATTATCATAATAACATTATTTATCCTCTGATGGTATTTTATATTTTTAAATTGAATAACTTAAATATTCCATACTTTAAATAAATTTTTACAAACCATAATTTATGTTATTACATCACATTAGAATAATATCTCTTTGCAATTTAACAACCCTTATAAACTAATATATCCTAATATTTCATTAGCTTAATTTTTTTGAAGATCCACATCTACTACAAAAACAATTTTAAGTTGTACATTTAATATAAATACATATATTCATAGAATGATTGATTTATTAGATGGCTGATGTACTTATTACACTATAAGTGAAGGATACTTCTTACTAATCTTTTGATAAAAATTCATTGTTTGAATACATCAACTTATTAATATAATACTTGGTTTAAATATTACTTTTTTGATTGATAATTATTCAAGTTAAATATTGAATTTTCTTATTTTGGACATGTGATTTATTTTTCAACTAAAAAGTTTTAAATTTTTTTCTATAGAACAAAATTCCAAACTTAATATAATGTATTAATAAATCAAACCAATTTAAATGAGTATAAGATTTATGACGAAGTAATATCATTTTTATGCATATATCAAAAAATAAAAGTAAATTGATTTTGCTTCTTTGTAGATCATCTTGTTAAGCTGATATTATGTACATTCTCTAACCATTTCCCTTAAACTCTATTGATATAAAGATATCTATTCCCTTTCTGTCTTTGATGGCCATAATCCAGATCGTTATCCTCCATATCGACTGAATTATAGATGTATAAAATAACAATGATCTTCTTTCATAATCATCAATTATTAATTTTAGTTTCAAGAATTTACGAATTTTCTTACCTCATCATCAATAATCATTTGTGTTACCAAAATCAAAAAGAACCATTTCCAATTATGAAGAGAGTGCATAAAAATATTGAAAGAGCATAGTTTGAATATACTCCAATTAAAATTAACATAATTGCCAATGTCTGAATAAATAGACAAATTGAGCCAACGTAAAATGTATGCATTATACCTCTATATGATAATCAGTGTATAGTCTTAAATGAATAAGCAGCCAAAGCCAAAATAAAGATAAAGGTGATTCCTTTTGCCTACTACACAAATCCTACTCCAAATTCATATGCGATTAGGATACAAAAATTTGTTACCAAGGATCCAAAAAATAGAATATAAAGTCCTAAAATAATCAGGTATCAAGAGATCTAAATCTCAATACTAATATCATATCTTTCTAAATATTTACCTCCACAAAATACATTGATGTGAAGTATTATAGAAACAGTTATGGAAACATAAAACAACCAATTGAAATAATAATTACTGAAATATTTACACCCCATTATGCAAAATTGCCGAAATGATAATAACATTTCTTTTACTATCCAGCAGTCACTAACTAATACTGCAAATTTGTATATAATCATAAGACCACCATAACAAAAGTAAATTTTAGTACCATCGTTAGACAGATTAAAATCTTCATTGTAAAGTCTGCCCGTATCTATTATTGTAGAAATTATCGTATTTCAAAGGAGGTATTATCTTACTGCCAAAAAAATATATTATGAAGATTACTTTATTTATTTAACTGTAATCTTTATCTTAATCATGTTTATAATTACTTCTTTTTTGTTCTACTTTCTCTTTGTTGTGCTTGTTCAGACCCTTCTAATTGTTATGTGGTTATATCCAGAGTAATATATTTATTATTTGACTGGGTCTCTTACATTATTAAAGAAAGATAATATTAATATTAATTTAATTTAGCTTTATATCTTACTATTTATAGTTGGTTATAAAATATTAATTGAATACATTGAATCATTATTCTGTATTGATTTCAATTTAACTTTAATAGATCCTAAAAATAGGGTTCTCAAACTTTTATTTATATTTGAAGAGTATTAAGATATTTAAATATATATTAATATAAACGTTTATAAATTAAAAAAATATTATTATAAATTATAACTTATTTCAAAAGGTAGAAATTACTGAAATATTTGAATATTATATCCTGTAAAATCAATTAAATAAATTAAATTATATTCATTTAAATGATTATAAGTATTCTTGAGAAATAACTTTATAAATTAATAATCATAAATTTAATTTCATTAGAAATAGAAGATCTATTAAAATTTATAAAATTACCTATTTAACTATTCCTTACTAAAACCGAAATGTATTTTCACCTCCATTATAAATAATTTAAATGATAAAAATTAATTATCAAAAATTTTTCATTAATTTTGTTTAATTACCTTAAATAATTCAAAGTTTCTTGTACCTATCAATATTTCTAAAATTCACCATTTATATTAGTTCCAGAGCCCTTTTGAAACTATTCCACTTATCCAGCAATTAATGCCCAAGTTAAAGGTGGTTATTATGTAACCAGATCAAGAAAAATCAAGAATCATTAAATGGTCTGAATAAGTCCAATTTTTATAAGTTGAATAAGCTCTTTAACTAATTGATAGAATAAATTATTACTAATAAGTCAAATTTATTAAAAAGATTTGCCAAATTTATGTAAACATTGTTCCACGACTCGTCAAAATATATTCTATGTTCCCAAAGAGTAATAATAAAAATAATAATCTACATCCTTGAATTTTTTTTTAATTACCTTAATAACATTTATATTATTTTATAGTCTTTTGTACTTAGTTATTATTTAAAAATCATATACTAATTTTGTCAGTTTTAATTCCAAATTCAATTACAATTTAATAGTATGTTAAAAATAGATGGAACCTAAATAAGTAGATCAATCATATTCTTTTTCCCATCCTTCGTTAGTAACTATAATTTATTTTGTTTCTCTATAATTGAAAATTATAAAAATTTCTTCTATAATTTACCAATTAATTGAGCATTTCTTAATGTTGATTAATATTGATAATCTTTGAATTTATTATTTTAGATTCATTATTAATATTAATGAAATCTTAAAAATAAAGCTAATTGTAATTTATAATTATGAAATCTATTCAACAGAATAGATAAATCAATTAGAGTTTGACTAATTTGAAAATGTATCCAATAGTTATAGTTTTTTGTTAAAGAGGCAATGTTTCTTTTTATATATGGAGCCTTATTTAATGCACCAAAAACCAAATATCAAAA